AAACGTTTTCTTTACCTAATCCCGTTTCACCCTCGAATTCTACCCACAGTTTAGTTTTTAATAAATCAGTTTTAGTCACAGAGTTAATAATCCGATAGGAATCCTCTAAAATCGAGGTACGACGTATACGAATCTCAAATTTATTTGGAACATTTGTCTAAAAAAAGAATGTTGATAAGTGTTACCCAATATTATATAGCAGGAAGCACAAATAAATAATGATGTACATACATATGTACATGCACACATGTAAGAACTTACCGGTTTTCTAATATGACTCTTGAAATACTCGTACTTTTGTTTGTAGTCTCTGGAATATGGTACGGCCTGACCAGCTATATTTGGATTTGATAATCTTGGATCTTCCCACTGTGTGGTGCGAGTGTCTTAAAAAGAAAAAAAGACAAATAAATTAATAAACTCCTGGTTGTTTTAACCCATTAGTAACTTACTATGATCAATATAAAACACGCGTCCATCCGTATGAACACGTTCTTCCCAGCCCTCTGGCAGAGGTCCCAAATCATCCTCGACTCTACGCGTTTGATTAGGCATTGGGCTAGCGCGTCCATTACGTGGATCAATCCATGTCGTGCGTCGCGCAGCATGATCTATGAAAAATGTTCTACCGTTCGGTGCTACCTGCATAGACCAATTCGGCGGCAAAGCATCTTCATCTGATCTCGGGGTAGCCTGACACAAAAAATGTTTAATTTTGTGGTAAAGAAAAAAAGATTTGAAAATAGTCAATATATATGTATTTGAAGGACAAAAATTATAATTCATCGCAAAATTGTCTAACTCAAAGAGCACAGAATGTTCAAATTGGGTCTATGGTAATTTTCATTTAAAAAAAAGTAGATCTTGCCAAAGTATCAAACATACATAATATAATATATAATATTATGTATAACTCTTTTACTACGGTATTATAAATGGCAGCAAACTTAACATCGACAACCCAATAGATATGATAAGAAATAAAACTAAACTCACCGGAGGTCTGCCGGAGTCAGATTCATCAACACTAATATGAAAACGTCTTTGGAAATCAGATGCAGCTGCCTCAACGTTTACGTTACTGTTGCTAGTTGCCGAGCTAATAATAAAGTTAGCAAGATATTAATAAAGACCGAAGAAGATACGGTAAATTTCTTAAAGATAATTTAGAAAATTAGTGCACGTTGATCTGTATAAAAACATATATAAATATTAATAATTTTATCAAAATCACACAAATTTTATGAGCGTGTTTTATCTTTTTTACTTAAATTGCTGGGGCTTTAATGTAATATTTGGTATATTGAACACTTAAATCAAATTCGAATCAGAAATAAAAAATAGTCTATGGATGGTAAGGGGAGTTATGTATACATATACATACAGTACCGGTCAAAAGTATTGGCACAGAGAATTTTTCGCAATGTAAGTATGCAAAGTTTTTTATTCTAATTTCTTTTCACTAATTTTTTCTAAAAATATAGCTCATGCTACAACAAAGAGCATAAAAATAAATTCTCTAAAATGTTTGCAAGACTCAGGAAAATTCAACAAATTGGCGTACTAATTTGCAACTTTCAAATCAGATTTTCGAGAAAAATTTTAAGCACGCAGTTGTAGAGCCCCTTTAATTTTAGTATCACAAAGTATAAGTTTGAAGTTAATAAGAAATCGTGTTGATTTTTGGAATTTTTTTTGCTGACGGTGTTTTTATTTTCAAAAATCAAACTTGCACTTTGTTATGCTAAAATTGAAAGGGCTCTACAACTGCGTACTCAAAATTTTTTCAAAAATCTGATTTGAGAGTTGCAAATTAGTACGCAAATTTATGGAAGTTTCCTGAGTTTTGTACACATCTTAGAGATTTTATTTTTATGCTCTTTGTTTTAGCATGAGCTAAATTTGTTTACAAAATTAGCGAAAAGAAATTAGAATTAAAAACTTTGCATACATTGCGAAAAATTCTCTGTGCCAATACTTTTGTCCGGCACTTATATTCATACATACTACATAAGCAAAAAAAACTAAGTTTTGTAAAAATCTACAATCGATATTTGACCGAGATGTTTTATATATCAACACTTACACTAATGGCCGTTCCCATTGCGTCGTACGTGCAGTATGATTAACATAATAAGTTCTCCCATTTGCATCTTGCCGTTCTTCCCAGCCAGACGGCAAAGGGTCGTGACTGACATTGGATGGGAATTGTCCCTAAATATAAATGTTTAGCATTTAATTAATTAAAATTAATTATTTTATGTATATACCGTTTGAGTTCCACTCATTCTTGAGGTATTCTCCAAATGCTCCCATTCCCCATCAACTGCGTCAGCTTCGTTTGCCTCCCCCGATTCATGTACAAATGCATGATAAATCTCTAGCGTGCCTTTTATCCGTGACTTTGCGCTGCTTGAATATTAATTTTTATTGTTGTATTTATAAAAAAGGCGAAATGAATGAAACTGCACTAACTAAATTTGTTTAAAATAAATTTCAAATAAATAACTTAGAAAATCACGTAACCCGGCTGAAAGATTAGTTCGATATTATTCACTTAAGGGAAAGGTTATTCAAAAAATATAATTAAAAGAAAATTAAGGTAAAATAACTTTTAATAAGTATGTACACGTGAAATTTTTAGTTACAAATAAAATAATACAAAATAATTTTGTAAATGAAATCAATTTAACATACCCTACTGACCTTCTCGGTCTTAGTGAGTAGCTTTGTGGACTTATAGTAGTATTTTCTTGCTCTGTGGGTAAATTATTTAGCGTCAGTTCAACCATGCCAAGAAAGTCATCACGTGTTAAACGATTTTCATCAAATACTTGAAACACCAATTTGTGCTCTGAAGGTTTCACCTTTAAAAAATAAGAAAATAGATTAACAAATTGCTTAATCAATGCTCAGAATTTCTTTATTTGAAAA